ATGGCTGTAAATTGCACCTCCCAGCTCTTCCATTTACCTCCATCTCACCCCCATGTCTCTCTCTGCCCTATCTAACAAAGGTCTTGACCTTGCTGTTCAGGCCATTTTAGGGCTTTCCCTCTCTGACCCATTATCTTACACATGTTGGATCCAACACTCCACCTTGGCTCTGCCAACGCCACTTCCATTGACTGCTGGCTAGTCCATGCTTTCCTCCCATCCCTTCATTCTTCCTCCCACTGTGTATACTGGGAGGAGATCCTACAGCTACCTACAGACACCATGACATTTTACATGCCAGTAGACCTTTGGCAGCAGAATAAGTGAGCTTTTGGTAGCCAGGATGTAGATGCGCAAACTCACAAATACAGACAAAAAGAGGGCACAAGCCAAGAGGAATATAAAGGTTGAGACAACAATAGGGCCTGGGACAGGATCATGAATGGCACGTGCCCCTGGGGAGCTCCTGCAGACATCGCCGGCACTGTCGACAACCACCTGCAGGCCAGCAGTGGCAGCGGCCAGGGGTGATCACGGACTGCCTGGATCACAGGGTGGTGAGCGGCGTCTGCCTGCAGGCGCCGGTGACAGTGTCGGTGGCGCTTTTTTGCAGGGGTTGCCCCGCCACATGCAGGGGGTGCACGTGCACCCACATGCAGCCCTATGCATCGCCCCTGGACAGGATCTCTCCTACATCGTAATACATTCTGAAGGGAATTCTCCCCCAAGTCCTAGAACTGCTCTCTAAGGACCTCCCCAAAATATGGTGTATTCTCCACTGACTGCAAACTCCCAATCAGGTGAAGAGATGCAATTTCTGCTGCTGCTTGGCCCCAGGGAACTGGATGGTGGTTCTGCACTTGCACAGCTAGATGCTCCTGGGCTCCCAGTTTGGCTGGGCTCTAGGAGCTCTGCAAACCAAACAGGAACAAGATCACAAGCCATTCTGCATCCAGGCCGCTTGAATGACAGTATCTCGGAGACACAATTCTCTGGCTACAGAAAACAAACAACCCCCCCCCCAAAAAAAAACCAAAAAAAACCAAACCAAAACAAAAAACCAAACCAACCCAAAAAACCCAAGAATGGCATATAGTAATCCTGACAGCACAGTTCAGAGAAAGAACATGAGAGGTCTGGGAGAGGACAAAGCAACAGCATCAGGCCTTTGAAATAGTCTATACATTCCTATGAGAATGCCTGCCCCAGGAAGAACGAGCTGCAGGAGACAACTCTGGCTGAAACTCGAAAGCAAAAGCAGAGCAGCTGTGGGGTAGTGGGCAGCAGATGGAGATCAACACTCAGCTGCAGAGTGGAGCCTGAAGAAAGCTGCAGGAGGGGTTCTCTGTGCCTGAGGGTAGGCAGCAGCAGTGACCCTGGGAAGATGCATGGGAGCAGTGCTAGGACAGAGTAAGCATTTTGTTGCATGAAATTCAAAGGCCAGGAGCAAGGAGCCTACAAAAGCTCTAAGCCTCAGGCCTAATTGCAGGCAAGCTGCTCTGATAGGAGTACAGTTAAAACTGAGCAGCCCAACCTCCACTCCCCATGTGTGGATGGCATTGCCACAGGAAAAGAGGAACTGTTACACACGATAAGGCACCTTTAATCAAAGTCTGCAGCAGGGACTGCGCTAATCCTGTCACCCATCCTCCTTCTAACTAGTCAAGAGAACGAGGACAGGTCTCTTTCAAGACAGCGTGCTGGAGAGATTTTTGGATTTGACCTTTGGACTGAATACGGCAGAGAACAAAGCAAGATTTTATTACTTGGGATCTACAAGAAAGAAAGATGACCAAGCACTTCCTCCCTGGGGATGTCTGCTCCCCAAACTGCCAGGGTAGAAGGGAAGACAGGACTTGAGTTTAAGAAGTAGATCAACACCTACCCTAGGAAGCTCTACAGGTAACCTTGATAGGGAGCAGTGCTACAAGGCAGACAGCTACAGCCAGCTGGAAGAGGGCTCCACACAGAGGTAATAGGTGGGGATCAATGTATAGGCTCTGGGCTGCTTTTCTCCCATCCTGTCACAGTTGGTTTGGAGGCAAAGAGTGCTAGTGCTCTTATGCTTCCATGGTATTCACCTCACACTCGTCTCCTCCTGCCAGCTAGAGGTTATAAGAATCACCAAGAAAGCAACTGCAGGCAAGACAGCAAGATAAATACCAAAAAACAACAAGGCAGAGGGCAAGGAGAGGAGGCCCTGCCAGACACCATACCTAGAAACAAACTCCCTTTGCTACACGCCTGTCTTCTCCCAGCCTCTGATGGTGCATAGAAGGCAGAGAGCAGGTGTAGCGAGCAGCCTCCCTTACTGTTCTGCAAACATCAGCACCCAGAGGTGTGGTGTGGCTCTGCCTACAACTGGAGCAAGTTAAAAGATTCTCTGGCCAAACAGTTCATCAGTGGGAAAACGTGTTTTGAATGACACACAAATCTCTTAATTCCACCATCCCCCCTGGCTGTCTGGAAACAGAAATATTCCAGTTCTGAAGGGAGGATGTGGTGCCTTGGGGCACTATGGCTCAGATGCCCAATTCTCCCACTCTGCTGCAGAATGGGGTCAGCTGGGTGGAACAGCTGAGGTCAGGCTCTGGCATTGGCCAGAGAGCAGGCAAAGGCCAGGAGTGCTTGTTCTTGCCTGAGAAGCAGAACGAAGACTAAACTATTCCGGCATCCCTTTGAGAAGTGGGCATCAGGATAGCCAGCTGAGTCCCTCTGCATGCTCTGTGCTGCTCCAGGCTTTCTGCATCTGCCCTCCCTCTCCTTCTCTGCATCTGAGTGGAGAGATGGCAGTCCTCCAGAGGTGGGAGGACCAGCAGAGGCACATGTGATCAGAAACAGATTTCAAAGCTCTGTCCTCCAGCTTCCAGCAGTTAATGCCATCTACTTGGCACCCTTCAACCCATCAGAGCATGGGGAGAAAAGCAATCTGTAGAGCCCCAAAGGGCAATGTGCTCTCCCCACAGCAAATAGGATAGCTAGGGAGAAAGTTTCCAAGGGCAAAAAGCCTCAGTAAAGCCAGCAGGGGTTCTTACTCTCAACAGGGGAGAGTAATGGAAGCCCATTAGTGACAAACTAGTGTCAAGTTCAAATGAATTAGCGTTTCACTACACACCTAGAGGAAAAGATTAAACCTTTCCGAGGATCTATTACATATGTTCTAATAAAAAGTCTCTCAAACCAAAGCTGTCCCAGCTAGGACTCCAGCAGGTGGCTTCTGAAGAGTCAAACAGGAGCACACAGCAAAGCATGGCTTGGCTGGATAGAGATCAACATTTTACAGGCAGCAATGAAACATCCAGCTGGAGCACAGCACCAGAGGTGAGACAGATGTGCAGAGACAGTCGGGACCCCCACCCCCTTCAGTCACATTTCCCAACCTGAAGCCTCAGCAACTGGTTCTCCTGTCAGTGACCAGCCAGAGGCAGCATTGTGTCAGTCCAGCCTCAAAAATAAGCAGCAGAATGACCCTTGCACTCAAACAGGGCTCCAGAAGGCCAAACCTCCTGCCCCTAGAGGAATGAGGACGCATGCTTTCTAACAAACCACCTCCTGCAGGGTAGGCTTTCCTGGCTCCTATCCTTTAATATTCCAGTATAGGTACGTTTAGTACAGGATCATCCCTCATTTGGAAGCACCAGCTTAAAATAGGAAGAGAGAAGAGGGAAAGGCAGAGAGCTTGAAACATTTGCTGCTAAAACAAAATCAACCCAATTGCCGGGTACGTTCAGGATGCCTGTGCACACACTGCGTCTCTCCCATTGGCACAGAGCAGAATGGCAGGCACTGTCCCTGTAGCACAGCTGGGCAGGACATCTGTGTAGACCAGGCATCCTCTTCTTCCAGCTCTTGTTCAGCTGAAGTCTCTCCACTTCTTCCATCAGCCTGCATTCTCTTCATTTTCGAGGCAGCTTTCCCCACAGGGTTCTGTGGCCTCTTTCAAGGGCAGGCTGGGGTCTTGTGCAGTCCTCTGCCACACATGTTTGAAAGTACAGGAATCCAGAAACATGCTGGGGATGCTGTCACCAAAATACAGCTTACTGTTTGCAGCAATGGCTTGATATTTCACGAGCTCCAGATATGCCGGCGTGAGTTTCAGCTACAAAGTGAGACACCACATCCTGTAAGGGGCAATGTTCCCTGGCAAGTATCACAGGTGTCTCCCTGCCCCACCCACCAGGCTGGATGTTGTGTTCAGGATTTAAATCCGTGCTCCCCCCATGAAGTTAGCTAAAGCAAACATTCTCACATCATCCCTGCTCCAAGCCCCCTCCCAGTCCTGGGGGCAGCTAGAAGACTAAGCAAGCCCTTTTTGTCTTGTTTGCTTTCAGACACACCCTCACCTTGTTGGAGTCTGCCACTTTCTGAGCAGTGTAATAATCTGCATCAGCCTTCGCCTTCTCTCTTGCTAGGAAAGCAGCATCTAGTACAGCAGCAGGAAATCAAGTCAAAGGAGCAACAGTTAGCAGTGCAATGGCTAGGCCACCATGGGCACTGAGGCCTGAAACCCCCAAAAGATCATGTTCTAGCCAGCCTGCCTGTGTCTACACCACAGCTTCGCTGAACCACCTTTCACCTGCATGCACTGCTGCCTTCCTGCACAGGAACCTGGGAGAGGGAAGGAGAATTCACCCAGCAGGCAAAGCTGCAGCTGTGCAAAGTTATTATCCTTTGTACTATGGTAGGTAGTACATAGTACCTGTGGTTGCTGGAGGGAGAGGGGTCTTTCCTGGGTTAACCTGCATAACAGTTCTTTGCATTGGGAGGTTCTATTATGTTCCATCATTACCTTCAATCTCAGAAATACGCTTCTCCGTCTCTTTTTCCATGATTTTCTGCTGATAATGAATCTTGGACACCTGAGCAGCCTTCTCTGCCTCTGTAATTACAGACAGTAGCTCAGACAATTCCTGCTCCTGCGCCAGCCCAATCCATACACCTGGGCAACAGTTTGGAGTAGACTGCACAGTATGTAGTGGCCAACTAGACTTGCTACAAAACCATCTCTGTATCTCACTTCTCTGCATGACCATCCTCCCCAGATCCCAAGCTGCTATTCAATACAATGTCATGGTACTGGCTGTTTGCATTTCAGGTGACCCAGGTAGCATCAGAAAAGATAGCCATAATGGTTGTGAAGCTGTCACAAGCACAGTGCTGCTGTTCATTTCTGTGAATTCCCAGATGCATGGACATTCAGGTGACAGAGCCTGACCGGTTTTGTCAGGGCAGCTTGGATTGCCAAGACTTACCAAGCTTACAAGCCTCCCCAGTGCAGGAGGGAGCCCTGAATCAGGCCAAGAATTTCTTAAGTGAAAAACTGCAACAAACAGAGGGTTTGGGATGTACACTACAGCCCAGTGCCACTCCAGCAGATGCTACCTACACCTTGTCCAATCCCCACTTCCCTGCACTATTCTGCAGTGCTGGAGAAGGGGGAATAATTCTTAAGGGCAGTGATGTGGTCCCTAGACTGGAGTTGGACAAGGACACAGGGGATGACCTTCCAGCAGCTGAGGTGCCCCTGTTCTGCATGCAGGGACTGGATTCAATGCAACACACACGTGTGATAAGGGACATAAAAACCACCTTGTTCATACAGGACTTCACAGTGCCTGTGTTTCCACTTGCATTGCTTGGCCAAGTTGGACCCCACTCCATCAAATGGTGAGAACCATGCCCATGCCTGTTTTCTGCCCACCTAGTAAGTCAGCCCCTCCCTATCCGCTTGGGAGAATCATCACAGGGAAAAAACTGATAGATGCAAGCATTGCTTCTTCAATATACCTATGAGAGCCTTTTTCCTCTCCGTCTCTGCCTCCTTCTCCACAACTTTTTGCTTCTGGACTGCTATGAGCAGTTTGGTCTTCTCAGCTTCCCTGTACAGCAAAAGAGTTTACAACAGGGATAATTCTCTAGCTCCTTAGTGTGGATTTAGGACAAAAGCCTGGCTAACAATGTCAGTGTCCCAGGAGCATGGGTCACTACTAGGGAGACAGACAGAGCATCTGCTACAGAATAACCAGAGAGCAGTAGTTCCTGAATACAGTCAGACACCCTAGTGAGTCTCAGGGTGGGGCAACCACACAATTTGAAAATGTGTTAGACGCCTCCAAAGAAGAAAAAATCCAGCTTAAGCTAATCAGCATTATGTTAATCATTTAATAGCCATTAGCCAATTAGAACCCACTTAGTAATAAATGGAGTGACACTTGTTAGCATCCATACCACCCTAGTGCAGAGGCATTTATTCCATGGGAGACACCTGACTGGGAGCCAGCCAGCTGCTGGTTCACAGGGGCAGTGAAAAGCTATGTCCAGTACAAGCTTAGCAAGGGAAGGTGTTACTATATTAAAGATGGCTCTATATGCAAGTGCCTTGTGCACATTTGAGTCTTAAATTCATCAAACAGACCACTGAAGGTTTTACAGATCATCAAGACTGGTACCCATGCCTGAAAATAAACAGGCAGTCTGTCTCTGAGACAGAGTGCAGAGCAGACAATCTTTTCAAAGATGAGCGACTGCATTAGCTGGAGCAGCCTACTGCTTTTCAGAGGCAGCCACTCAGTAGAACCCTTTGTAGTACAGAGCCTCTGGTGAGGTGCACATTAAAGAGATAATGCTTGCAGCTGTGCCAGAGCAAGTGCATCCTGCTGCTGTCACCTGGGAAGCCCAAACATGCAATGGCTCCAAAATGACAAAGACAAACCTGACAGAGACACAGCACCCACACAACAGAGAAGCGAACTTCAGCCTTCCACAAGAGACCCTGGCCAGATCACTATACCTGCCATATGGCTGGGTGGTGTTTAAGCTGGTCACTTAGTCCCTTTCCCAAGATAACATCTGAAATACTGGGATACCAAAGAACACATGTCAAGTAAGTGGGGGCTGAGTCTCAAAGAAATGGAGACAGAATCTTACCCTTAGTGCCTAATACACAGGCCGAGTTACAAAAACAAGCAGATAAGGAACAAGGGAAACAGTTTTCAGGGAGATTCAATGAGTTTAAGTACTAATTGTGACCCATCACAGAGAGGTCAAGCTCTTATGGTGAGGAACATCTTCTAGAACCAAGCTATTTAAACTTTATAATCCACTCCAAACAAAAGAGCAACCATGTGTGCAGGCTTACCAAATGGATTCTTAGCACTCTCATGCTCTCACCCTCAACTAGCTTTGCAGATGCAAGCTCCAAGATGTCAGCTGTAAAATGCTGATGGTGACATTTCCCTTCCTGGGTAAAGTGTCCTAAGAATGTCCAGTTTTACATGTTAAGTGATATTAAAATACTGCAGGACAGGCCACTATATCTTGTAGTTAAGACATTTGATCAGGACACGGGAGGAAGATTTAGGTCTTATGGAATCTAGGGCACAGTTTAGTCTCCGTGCCCTGGGATCCCCATCTGTACAAGGAGGATGACAGCACTACCCTACATTGCAGGGGGGTTGGGTAGTTGAATTAATTAATGATTGCAAGGGGCTCAGATACTGCTACAGTGGTAAGAGCTAGGGAAATGCACAGACAGACAGCACAAGCCATATCATCTCTCTAAACACAAAGAGGAATAAGGAGTTACATCAAATGGCTGGGCCTCTATAACATACCCCAGTGTGGCTGTTACAGGAGGTATGTAAAAGGGGGACCACGATTCACCTACAATGATGGCACACCAACCTGTTTATGTTGGCAGCCTGAACCTGCTGAAAAATGGGAGATCTGTTGTGCAGCTACTCACATTAGCTCAAAATTTCTTCGGATGGCCTCAGGGATTTTGGGCTTTGTAACACGCACAGCCTAGGAAAAGAAAACAGAGTGTGTTTAAAAATAAGCTCTGCACAATGAGGACCACATAGCTGGGAAACTGCTGCAAGAAAGGCAGTGTGTTATGCTAAGTAATTGGATTGGGCAATGTCTTAGCTCCAAAACTCAAGCTACCAGCACCAAGACCTTTAAGTTGAAACACGCCCTACTATTGATACTTCCAGTCAGATTCCCTATTCTACACTGAGAACTGCTATCTTCAACCAAACAGCAGGGAAGTCTGAAAGTGCAGAGCCCAAGCTATGCTCAGGAACCATGTCCTGCTCACTAGCTCGTGCCTAATATGCAAGCATGAGGCAGCACAGCCAGCTGAGAGAAGCTCCGAGCATCTATCCCAGTACTACTTTCAGGCCTTCTGTCTTACGCTTGCTTCTTGCCATGTGCTCAGACTGCACCAAGGCAGCTAGACTATCTCATTTCTGACATTTGGAGCATGCAACATGAAGTGGGCAAGGTATCCTTTTCGCAAATCCTCCCAGGCACAGCATAAAGGTGGTGCAACCAAGCTTCAAATCTGTATTAAATAGTCCCTATACAACCGTTAGCTGTGATGGGTTGCATCATAATTGTGGAAAGGAGCAGATACTCTGCTGTAGACACTGAGAACTAGGTAGTATGTCTACATCACTGGTTTTCCCAGGTACCCACTTAAGCAACTATAAAGTTGTGTGCATGCATACTGCTTACACTAAGTAACTATTGTTTTAGTCTCAACTCATAACATTTCAAACCTAAATTAAAATTACTTTTATTCAAAGCTTCCAAAATAATTTCATCTTGGGACACAGAGAAATGTAAACCAAAAAAAATCCCAGCAATTGTACGTAGGGACTTTGAAAGAAAGTGCAGACATGTCCAAAGACATTAAATGAGGGTGCTGACTTAGGATACAGAGTGCTGGGCAAGCTGCACAGTAAGGCACACTTATCACAGGCTATAAAATGCAGTTGTCTTGAAAACTGGGTTTTTGGTTGTAGTCATGTTGGCCTAAGGATGTAGGCAGGCAACGTTCTTTGGGTAGATGTGATAGCTTTTATTAAACTAACCGAGTAGTTGGAAAAAAAGTTTTTAGCAAGCTTTTGGGCACAGTCACCCTTCATCAGGCAAGGAGAGTCTCTGGTGTCTTGAAAAGGGATCCAAAATGCGATGGCAGAGCCCCAAAGTAACTCTCTCTACGGAATGTTTTCAGCATAAGAGATGGAAGTCATATATTCAAAAGGTTGGGCTCAGAGTCAGGATGGCTGACTTCCAACTCCTGACTCCTTCCAACAACCAAATTCTTCCATATGTTGTTTACAATGGGACAACAGAGGTCCAAGGATTGAATTTGGCTTTGCAGTTCCAGTTCAGCAAGAGTGACCGACAAAGCACTTTTCAGTTTTGCTTGTGCCTTTTTGGTAAATAGAGGGTGCATCTACATTTGCAACTGATGTGCCTCAATAAACTCCAGTGCAGCTCATGCCAAAGACAGCTGCTCCTGGGCGCAGCGTCTTCATGTATGCCTGGGACTGCAACAGTTTGAGTTGGGGTGGAGCAGCCCTGGGCTGGAAGCAGGCTTGGGGGATCAGCCCCGGGTTCCAGGTGACAGCATCAGGCAGCAGAGGGGCTGGCGGGGGTATGAGAGTGCCCAAAGTGCGGAGCTGTTTGGCTGACCCTCCAAGCCTGCTGCCAGCCTGGGGCTGCTCTGTCCTGGCTCAAGCTGCCGCGGTCCCGGTCACTGTCCACATGTCCTTTCTGTGCAGTAAATGACTCCACCTTAACATAGTACTATCACGGACAGTACTATCTTATGGTGGAGTTAATTAATTCACTGTGCTTTAATGCTAGTGCACATGTAGACAGTGACGCTTTACTGCAGAGCCAGCTCGTCAACTCTGCAGTAAAACACACATGTAAATGCACCCACAGGGCCCGAAAAGTGTTTTTTGGGTTTTTTAAAATTTAAAAAGGGAATTTCCTTCTTGATTTTTACCTAAGAATGTCAGGAATGTACAGACTGGATAGTTCAGTGTGTTTTACAGGAACACCAGGACTCTTCCAAAGTGAACCGGGACAGCATGTTGACTCAGCTATCCTTATCCAGGCAGACTTCACAGTTGTGAAGACACTTAAGATTTAGGGAACTCAAACTTAAGGGTGAGGATGTTGGTTTTTAACAAACGCTTCCATTCAAAACGATAACCAGGCACAGTTAAATGTGGTGGCAAGAGCAGGCAAAGCTAGCCTGACCTCCTCTCACCAATTCTACTTTCACTTCAGTTCCCTGGACCTCAGAATGGGTTCTCCTAACTGACTGTTTTCCATTAAAGCCCCAAGAGAAAACCCATTTTCTAATGTAAAATGCAAACAGAAATTCTTCTGAAAATGAACACCCTTGTCTGCACTTGCCAAAGAGACACAAAAGTGCAAACCAACCCCCTTTTTATTTCAGTTACCTTTAACAGATGCAATGACAACCAGGGACAGCTTTTTCCCCCTTTCACACTGACAGGCCCAAGTCACACAAGCCAGTCCTACCAATGTAAATGGTCTCAACACCAGCGTAAAAAAGGATCAGAAGCAAAATTTAAAGCCCCTACACCCCTGAGTTATTTACTTGAACCAATCCAGGGTAGAATTACTGCCATAAAAAAATTGAGGCATGGCTACACCATCAGACAAGTCTTCTGTCCAGTTCATACTGATGTAGCTGTGTGCTCAAGGCAAACCATTGTCTGCTTCCCTACATCCAGTGGCAAGGCATGAAACTACTCCAGAAAAGCTGGTTGCTGTTAGTTCCAAAACTGAAAATTACATCAGTGTAAATATGTCTTATGTCCAGGCTACTGGGAGAAGGTTGGCTCTGCAACAAGAGCAGAAGTGGAAAAAACTTTTTTTTGTCACCAATGTTTGCAGGTTAAATCCTAATGCATGAAGATCTGTGCATTAGAAAGAGACCATTGCTGTCCATCTCTTCTGCACATTTCTTTTCTGACCATTACAACACTTTGGATTCTGTATGGAAAACACGTAGTTCACAGGAACTGTGAACTCTGGCCCCACAGGAAACAAGTTCTGAAACCTAAACAGAGTGCAGACAAACCATGCATATGCCCAATGCTCAGCAACTTGAGAGCTCCACAGAACACGCAGGTGAAAAATCATTCCCATCCTGCCTCACCAATTAAAGTTTACATGGATAAAATGCAGAATCTTCCTACCTGGATGGTGAGACCTGGTGCCATGACATTGAGATCTTTCTGTAAGGCCAACTTCAAATTCTCATCTATCTGATCTGTGTTCAGGGGATAAGAGAAACAGCCTAAATGAATCTCTGGTTGGAAGGGAAAGAGTTAGCATGTGTAGCTATGCGAGCCACTCCAAGAACTTTGAAAGCACATGCAATATGCTGTTCACTATCTCGACTCCACAGAGATGCAGGGTCAGGGAAACCATGTGTGCTTATGGGCATGTGTGCGCTATTGTCACAGAAAAAAAAGTGGTGGCCAGAGCATGGGGAGTCCTGTGCATGTACTTTTGAACTTCTGCATTTAATGTGACAATGAATTTTCCCTTTCACCTGCTGCTCTCTGGGTATGTCCACCCTGAGTTCTGAAGGACACAGTGAGGAATTCCTTCTTCCCTCACAGTTCATTGGAAAACCTCAATTCATCTTAGCCAGAAGCCCGGCCACAGCGATTTAGACACTAAAGATAGATTCTTCCCTTGCTGAGCTCACTGAAGCCAGGGTGCTGACAGCTGCAAGACATCGAAAGCTCTGACCTTACCACGCTGGCTTGATGCCAGTAGGAAAAAGCAGCCAGAACTTGCAGCAAAATTCTGCCCCCTCCCCCATTCTGAGTCAAGCTGACTCCAATCCCAGCCTGAGACCTGGCCTTAAATCTCTAGATTCTTTAGGATCAGGACGCTTTTATAATACAAAAAGCTTCTCTAGGCCTGACACTCCCCTGCATAATCTTCTGAGAAAACATAGCCAGAGGTCTAGGACAAAGCACATGATCTCCCCTCCCTATGAAGGGCGTAAGGCTCTGGTTTGGCTCTAGTCATCCTTGAAGATGCTGCAAGCCTGTTTTTAAAAATCACTCGGAGCAGACAACAAAGGCCAACTCACACACGCGCCAAGAACTAAAGGGAAGCCTCAGAGTACAGCAATGCCCATCCCTACCTCCAAGTAGGCTTGGGAGTCAGCTATTTCCAAAAGATGTTTCCTTAATAATTAGGCAGTTTCCAAAGGGTCAAACTTTTATCTGCCACTAGTATATCACCACATGTCCGACAGAGATTTACCATCACATACTGAAGCCTAAATGCAGGTAGTCTTCCTGTAATAGGAAACCTCTTGTGCCCTGACTCGCTCTTCCAGAGGGAACCCTCACCCAATGCTGGTTCCAGTGAGCAGGAAGCCAGTAAAGAAAAGGAGCACTGCAACTGGCATCCAGGCTTCAAACTGGGAAGGGGAAGAAGGGGGAAGAGAAGTCCTAAGTACATCACAGGAGGAGGCAAATGGGACTTCCAAGTTCATCGTGCACTGAACCAAAGCTGGTCCCTTATGAAGTGATTAGGGTGATGTGTGTGACCTCATTTTGAGGTAAGGAGTCAAGGAGGGAGGATAAGGGACTGAAAAGTCCTTTTCAGTTTCCATGAAGAAAACAGAGAATGAGAAGGAGGATTCCAGTGTAGGGTCTAGGGCTCACTTAGCCCTGGTGCAGGGTTGGCTTGAGCAGTGTGTGACATCTATGTCCCTGAAAACAGATGGGCAGAAAGGGAAGAAAGGAAAATGGTGCCCCTTTTTGCTGCAGTACAGCAGCAGACACCAGGCTGGTTTTGCTGTACCTGGCACCCAAGGTACATTCCTGGACAAGGAGGATTTGGGGGATTCAAATCTAGGACATGTGAAGTCACATGAACAGTCATGACTGTTCAACACACACAGAATAATTCTAGAGTAAAGGGATACATGTACTCACAAGGAGCTTGTTTTGCACCCAGTGCTGGGCTTCTTAACTGACAAATCTGACTGAAAACCCTGGAAAATCCTGAGCTAAATTATACACCCATTTGCTGTGTGTGTTTAAGTGCCCACGAACTTACCAAACAGCTCAATGTACACTTCCTGGAGAGTGTGGGCACTGCAGAACTGATTCAGCTCATGGTGAATTTTATTGAAGATGAGGGTCTTATCATAGTCTGCAGTGTAGTTCTTCACAATGTCATACACTGGGGAAAAAAGATTTAATTACTAGAGACCAACTCTAGCACTGTAAAGGAACAATGCTTTGCTGCTTGCACACTATCTAAAGACAAATACATAGTCAAATACATGGAGAACACTAGTCTGCATAGACAAAACCTAAATAAGAAGGGTAATTATACAAAAAGTATTGCATATCTGTGACTTATGGTCTGTACTAACAAAGTGAGGAAATGTGCCATCACTCATGTCAACGGGAACAGAGAGTACTATGCACAGTGGGCCAAGTTAATGCTAAGTCTAAGAACAGAGCAAAGAATAGAGAGTGATTTAACATACGGATGCTGCAATAACACTTGTTTTCTCCATTAAAATCCCTTAATTTGAAGGGAAAAAAAATGTCAGATCTCTCTTCCTGTGGGATTATATTCCACAGGAGGTACAAACAGAGCTTTTAAAAAGTTTCCTGTAAAGCAATTAGTTTCACAGGGCAGAAACAGAAGCACTGTAAATGCCTAACCCCCACCTGATACATTCACAAACTTGTAAATGCTGTACCTAGCTGGCTGTGAATTTTGTTGCACGTACTCGCTTTTGCAGTTTTCTGTCCCCTTTCCAAACTTAACAAAGCAAGTTCTTCTGAGTAAAGGCTCTTTGAAACATCAGCTTTGATTTGGCCAAGTCCAGAGGATTTCGTTTTCCCATGGACAGGCAGTCAATCTTCTCATTCATTGCTATAAAGACCAGGGCTGGAAAATTCCAGCCTGGAGGGACATGTGACCCCGTAAGTAGAATCAGATTCTATGGTGACAAGAGACATAAAAGGCACCAAACTAGAGAACATGGATATGGTTTTCAGCTGTTGCAAGATGATTGTTCTACCACAGCTGAGATGCATTCAAACTCTATTTTTATTTGCCCTCATTCTAGCCAATGGAACAATTTGATGTTCTTGGGGCTCATTTTTGCCCAGTTACCTGGAAAGTCAGGCAGCTGACTTTACTATGCTCTAGAGGGAAGCATTCACTCCCCAGAAGGATGAAGATGGCAAACAACTATTTCAGAGGGAAGCAAAAGTCAAGAGCAACTCTGTTATAAGCAGGAAGCTACTCCTAGAAAAGGAAGTCCCCTCAATTGTGCACATCCTTGTTTAACTGTACTATATACATTGAATTCACTGCCTGCAGCAATGGCTGAGCACAAAGACCCATTCCCAAAAAGCAGGCACTTTTTGGTCTGTTCACTTATAAAGATGTGCTATAAAGTAAGAGCTGACACAGCAAAACGTACGCAGAAAAGCAGCATGGAGGTCAATGCACCTGCGCCTGCTCATCTGAGAGACCTCCAGGCACAGAGGTGGAACTCCTCGAGAGGCCCCACTAAACTATACTCTGTTTCTCTAGCAGCATCCAACCAAAGATCTGGCAATGGCTTAAAGCAGGGGTGCTCACACCTTGGCCTGTGGGCCAGATGACACTGCACCGCAGGACCTATCTGGCCCATGGGGTTCCCCACAGGTCTGGAAATTTGGCAGCAGGGAAGCAATGGCATCACTCCCTTGCTGCCAAATTTCTGGACCTATGGGGAGCCCTGTGCTGCACCAGGCCACAGGACCCAATCCCAGCACATGGAGGGAGCACTGGTCCCCAAGGCCCAATCCCAGTGTCAGGAGTGGGCAGTGCTGGGGCCAGAGCCGAATCTCAGCATGCAGGGGTGGGAAGGGGCAGCACCAGGCCCTAGGGACCCAATCTGAGTATGTGGGGCTTGATCTGGCCCATGGACTGACCCCACACCATTTATCTGACCCGTGGAGCCAAACGGTTGAGAACCATTGCCTTAAAGCAATGCACTGCATTTCCCAACCTCCCTGAAAGACAGGACAACCTTACTCTGCATCTGGGGAAACAGGCAGAAAAGATGCACACAAGCAGCCTATGTTATAGCCAGGACAAAACTTTGTCCTGCTTCCTAAGTTCCCCAGTGAAAGCTGAATGGAGTTTTATTCCTACAGGAAGAATTCAACTGCTTTTTCCTGAATTAAAAGTGAATTTTATTCTAGAATTACAGGGCTTAGTTTGAGCTCTTCTGAAAATAGTCCCTTATTGTTTAAGCAGTGATTGGAGCAAGTAAAACTCTTCAGCATAGAGCAGTGGAGGTCACATTGAACTGAATAAAATAACCTGATGAGGTACACTGTGTGCAGACAGACACACGGGATACCGTGTGGGCCCCCCCATCCTTTCGACACCACACACTTCCTCTACGATATACTGCACGGTGCTTTGGCCAGTCTAGTTTTAAAATTACACAAGCAGTGGGGATTCTACTTTCCCAGGAATACTAACTCACTGTCTCAACAGCCCTATGCAGTCAATCAAAGAACTGCTTTATCAAACAGGAAAAAAAAAAAAAAAGAGCAAATACCTGCATATGGAGCTAACATATTCACAACTTCTATTCGATCAATGTAGATCATAACCCCACCACTACAAGAAAAAGAAACAGACTTGAGTAATGACAGCAAATGCTCATAAAAGACCCTGTTCAATGTACAACAATCATTTTTATTGACTTGTGCTGCAGAGGTGCAATCTACTTTTTATGCAGCATGCTGTACTCCATTTCATGCTATTATGAAAGAGACACTGGGATTCTTAGATAAGAGTAAATCCCAGCTTCATCCCTTTGCATAAACTAGAAATGTATTCCAGCATGCTCCCAAAGCACTTTTATTTTACTTTGTGGTCCCTCTTTCTACTGAGCCAGAGACCTCAATAAAAGAAACCCAGAGACCTTTAAATGACCATAGTTACCACCATGAGGAAGGTACAGACAGATATAAAATAGGTGGGATGGGGAGGGAAGGGGGAGAGACCAAGTATCCACTGAAAAGAAGCAGAAGAATTTCCATTCTGCCAAGCTGAAAGTACAGTTCAGTTTTTTTCCCCAGCCTGTCAGAGGATGCTACATAATCTAATGGACGTTTCTATGTAAAACATGAATTCATACATTTAGTAAATTTTAACAGACATCTCTGATGTGAGCTTACAACAAGCAGAAAGACTGAGGAGAATGCAGCAGGTCCCACAGCAACTGCAGGAAGACTATTGTCACAGTGCTCCCAGACCCATTCCTCAAAACATACTGCTGATTATCTCAGGAAAAAAAAAAGAATGGAAAAGAAAGACTCTCTCAGGAAACAAAGCCCAGGCTTGGCTTCCAGGCCATCTGAACTCTGCCCTGCTCTACTATTACTTAGAATATGCCCATATGTAACCCTTGAGGGAAGGTACAGGAGATGAATCAAGAATTATTGTTCAAATTGCAGTCCTCCCACCTGTAATGAAACCTGTGGGCTTGCCCCAAAGCTCTGAAATAGTTAGCTACTTCCAACATTTTTCTATTCTTTATCTTTGCATGTTCTTCTTCCTTAGACTTCTTAATTTAATCCCCTCAAAACAGGAAAATTCTTAGTTGAAGCCAAGTCTATTTTATGGGAAACAGATACCATCCACAACAGCCAAGGGGGCGTTCTAAACACCACTCAAGGGGTTCACAGTGCCAGAGACCTGTCTGCTCCGAAATCAGACGTTTTTCACAGCAAGGAACTAACAAACTCTGTTAGGGATGAACTGAGCTATGCCAGCAGAGAGTAGGTGTTTGCAGGAAAGATCCTCAGGGCCAGAAAATAACTAGCACAGGCTCAGCAATGAAAAACTCCTGTTCAAGATTTTGTGGGCTCTGCTGGCAGGTCTTGTGAGCTTCTTGATCAACAGTCTGGGTTATTTGAATAGACAAATGATATAAAAAGAGGACATAGGTTTAAAAAGAGGCCCTATCAAAGAGAATCATAGGTAAGGCTCGAGGAGGGGAGACATTCCTGATGGAAATACATGTCACTGCTGGATAGGAAAAAGGTCTGTGGCTTTTGTCACCCTGGAGGATAGCAAGCAGACGTTGCTGTAAAGTGAATTCCCACTGAGCTGTCACCTTTGGCATCACCATGTTTTAAAATAATAGGGATGAGCAATGTCACCGAGCTAATGTTTCACAAGATTTCTTCTGAAATTTTCTTGACTTAAGAGGTCAGTTCTGCAACATTAGTAATGCACAAACGTGCATGTAAATAAATAATCCACCACTTGCAATGGACTCCGTGCCCTGCATCTTTTCTGGACCATCACAGCTACAACATCACTCTTACACAGCATAAATACAAGCATTTGGGATCTTTTGAACTTGTGTAAGTTATCTTGTGAAACATGTACAAGGAATTGTTTCCATGACTTTAGTGCTTATAATCAGTACCCCATGGCACCTTTAAAAGCATCTCAGGGCACCCTGGTTGAGAATCTGTGACTTGATAATGCATTAAGTAATTTTAGTGCTCTGTAACATTTAAACTTCAAGATTTTTTGCTCTAAAACAGTTTCTAACCAAATCAGGCTGACAATAAATCCATGATTCATGAGCTCCTGGATTTTTGTGAGGGTTTGTTTCTTGATAGGGGATTACACCCTGACTAAGCCCAATGCAAACATTTGTAGCTATTATTTTCCTGAGGTAACACAGAAATCAGTAGTAGTACTTCTAGCGTTAGTCTTCAGCACTAAGACAACAGGAGAAGATCAGACAACAGTAAAGAAAAGTAAACAAGAGGCTAAGACAAAAATTTATACCCTAGAGAGCATGGCTTCTGTTGTCACAGGTGCAAATGCCCTCCAAATATCAGCTTTGGCAGCTGCAGGAAACAATACAAGAGCAACCTGGTGTATTCTCCCATTTCCTTCCACCCACATCTACATTTCTGAACAAACACTCCACCCAGGATTCATACACACTCATTCATACTCTCAAAGCTACTCTCAGAAGTATCTGCCTGTAATCCCCAGGTCCTGGGTCCACATGTCCTAAAGAATGAACTAGCCACAAGCTGAAAAAAATCAGATCACATCTGCTTGCCAAAGCCAGAAAAAAAACACGTATATAAAACAACATACCTCGTCCCACAAGGCACATTTTTCACTTCATCAGTTTGCAATGTAGTCTGGAATAAGAGAGACAGTCAGGGCTCACGCATGTACTGAAACCTCAATAGTCAAGTGCAAATGCTAAACGGACCCTCCAGCCAAGTTCAGGGAATCTCTCTTGCAAGAAACTCCAAGCCCAACCTCTAATGGCTACTGAAGTAGCGGGGGGTGGAGGGGAACACAACACGGGGACCTTAGGAGAAGCAACCCTCAGTCCCTCTGTCGGTCGCTGACAGTTGTGGGCAGAGGGGCAGAAACATCTTCCCAATCCCCACTCTGCAGTTGTTTGGGAAGAATATGGTGGTAGGGAAAACTCCATTCTTTCCTCCCCAGACTCTCACTCCCTCCGCAACTGAAGGGACTGCAGTCCCCTTGAGCAGAACCTAGACTGCTGAGAACTCAGTCCCCTTGCCAGGAAGCACCTTCAAACAATGAGGGGGGCACAGGCACCGAGTATGTGGGGTCCAGGAACCCTGCCCCCCTCAGGAAGAGGGTAGGGTGATCACCTGTCCCTACTTGGGTAGGGCAGTTCTGAAATAGAAACATTAACTCTCAGTCCTGGGCTGCACGACTCTGGGACAGTATTTGTCCTGGATTCCCAGTATTGTGCAGGGATCTGGGTTTTATGGAAAAAAAATGTGGGAAATGGCAGGTTTCCCCTTGAAGGCTGGCAGTGTTCCAGGCTGCAAGGGGCTGCAGGGAGTGGGGATGCAGGGGATGCACACATGCACCTGGTCAGGAGTACAGCCCAGGGCAGTGGCAGAGAGAAGCTTCCCTGGCTGCCTACAGATAAGTCTATTCAGGGGGGAGGGGCAGATTGAGGCCCCCAAGGTGAGGGAGGGAGCAGGGCAGGGGCTGGGACTCAGGGTACTGCCCAGCCAGGGCAGTGAATGGGGCCTGGGACTCAGGTGGGGAGTGGGACAGGACCACAGACAGCTCGTCCAAGGGGTGGGGAGGAGGGCCCAGGTGCCTGCTGCTGTGCACACTCCCAGGGAGAGAGGGTATGGGGGCATGTAACCCCCAGGTTTGTGCACAGGGTGGGGGCAGATGTGCCTCACCAATGGGGCCTGGCCAGCACAGGTTTCCTGGGGCTTGGGCAGTAGGGCTTGGGAGCCCTGAGCCTGCATCTGCTCCCACCCCCACGCTCAGCCCTGCTCCGGCCATGTGGGGGGAGGAGTTGTCATCTCTGCCAGCAGGAAGTGCGCAGCAGAGGTGCACCAAGGAGCTCACCTCCATTTGCACTGCATTGGGCTTGCATGGCACATGTTCTAAGGAAGCTATCAAAGCTTCTGCCACAGCAACAGACTGGTTCATTCATCCCCTTTCAGGCTCCCTGCAGCAACGGTCTATCTACTTCAAGGCAGACAACAGATAACCAGACACAGAGCACAGCCACAATGGCTAACACCAAACTGCAGACAGCATAAGACTTGATGTACATTGGGGTCAGCAGGATGAATCCATGTACCTCAGCCCCACAGTTCATGCTGCACACCAAGGGCTGCCTCAGATAATTAAGGAGGGGAGCAGCAGATTGCCACTAGATCTGTTGTGCTTGTGTGATGCTAACAGCTGATCAAAATCCTTTGATCTGGGCAACACTGCAGCTCTGCCATCATATCTAACACTCGCACCTACCACACACCTAGCCTGCTTCAAGGTTAGGAGATACTAACCTGTACTGATTTGAACGTGGTAATGAATGGGAGCATGATGTGGTAGCCTGGTCCACTTGGGTTGGTTAATAACGCACCACCCCTGTAAAGAGAGAGAAATGGGGCAGTTCTTAAGTGGCTGAAAAACTGATCACTGACTGATCTGAACACTTGGTAAGTGCTCTCCATGTGTTCACAGTCAGGGACAGACATGACCATAGCCCTGCAAAAACCAGTAATCACAAGAGCCCAAGCAATTTCTGCATGCCCTCCCACAGCCTGGCAACTGGAAGAAAATGATATTTTGCTTGCCTGTTGAATTACCACCCAAGCCAGGCATTAATACAGTATCTGGAAAGGAGCTGTTAAGGAAAGACTTACAACCTTACTGGTCACTGCATCAAAGAGCAAGCTATTCAATACAGATTAAATGCAAAAGGTTTTTCAGCATGGCTGATCTGATCTGCTCTTTTGTAAAATAATTGGTACACCATAACATTCTCTCTAACTGCTATATACAGCTTATCTAGTTCACATGAGCAACATGCAAAATATGCAGATTTTATTTAGACTAAGTGAGCACTCCTGCTAAGCCTCATCTATTAGCACAATCTTGCAGACTGACAGTGTTACCTAGGCTAGAATTTAAAAATAATCTTCCTTCTAGTACACTGTACTAGAAAATACTGTTACACACTAACTTGCTGCTTACAAGCATCCTAAAAAAGAATCTTCCTCTTCCTTCCACATTAACATCTCGTTATATTGCAAGTTTCTCTTTAACAACTTTTCAGACACTACATATTAATACTGCCTTGTCTAACAGAATATTGCATATTAAACTCAAGTCCCAAAACCATGACCTAAAATCCCTATTTCCTGTACCCCATGGGCTTTTCTACGGTGGACAAGTGGCCTGATACCTGCCTCTTGCTTTCCGATCCCTTGACCCCTGCTACCCGTCTCCCACCAACCACTTGCTCCCCACACCGCCTGACTCCCTGTGCTTGCGCCCCCCCAGTACCAGGCCCTTGTCACTTGCCCTCCCCCTGCCTCTTGCCCTACTTGTACCTGCACCCCATTGCCACTTACCCTCAGCCATAGCTCCAGCTCCTCTCCAGCCCAGGCCACAGAGCTCATGGTGGCTCTGGCACTTGCCCAGCTAGGCAGCAGTGGTTGCAGCAGCAGCAGCTCTGACCCTGACACCAACCCCAGGGCCAGGACCGGGACTGGAACCAGATCAGAGCCAGACAAGAACAGGGGCCAGGGCTGCTGTTGCTGCCTGGCCTGGTGGGAGCTGGTGTTTGCTTGCCAACTCCCTGTACACATCATTCTGCAGCAGCACGGAAACTACTGTCACTAATGAGAGTTCAGAGGTTGACCGGGAAAAGGTAGGAGCCTGGTTTCTGGATGAATGGGAGGGAAGATGTGCTTACAGAAATCTGGGCTTCACTTCATTTCCATGTTTCACAGTTGACTTAAGGCCATGACGTTGGTCTTTTCCTGACAAACACACACCATAATGGGCAGGCTGAGAGCAGGAGAGGCTTAAGGGAATGCACAG